TTTCGATATTTTTTCTTCTGCCATTTGTCTCTTCTCATTGTTGCCATAATTACCTTAGATATCTTTTTACTTTAAAATTTTAATATTAAGAATAAGGTGCAAGATTTTCTGCAAAATTAGCAGTCTCAGTGGTAGCAAAGAAGAACTGTAAAAAAGGAAAATGAGAGAAACATTTTCCTGACAACCCACAAATCTAATAATAAGATCAAAAAGATAAAATCAGAGCATGTACTTTCACTTTGATGGAAATTTCCCTTTTATTGAGTAGCTGTTCACACTTCTGTCGGACAACAAAGACACAGGTTTCTAAAGACTGTTCTCCCCCACTGGCAAGTTAGAATTCCAGGGAATTTCAAAGAGAAATTTAAATAAGAGTACATAACAAAGTTGCTCCCAGTAAGCAGCTAAGCTGGGGTAGAGATCCATTGGAAATGGTGAAGACAGCTGAATGAAGCAGATGAGACAAGCAGCATTTCAATCACTGTTTTAAAATACACTGCCTCATTTAAAATATTATACCAGGCTGCAAAATCAAACTTTTGTTCACTTTTACATTCTTCTTCAGGTGGTATTGGTACTTTATTTTCACATACATGTCAGATACCTGGTTTTCTGGGTTTTATTCCTCATAGCTCCCTTCTTTACAAATGCATTATTGCAGTTGAACCTTCATTCTTAAGTACATAGTATTCAACAGCAAAGTGCAGTGAGAAATTAACAATGGAAAAGACACTGTTTCTCTGCATCTTATACTTCCAAAGAGACTTTTTAAGAGAAGTAAAAAATTACTTGGAATGATTGGGACAAACATTAAAGCACATGCTGTCCCTTTGAAAGACTATTTTTAGCAAACTAAAAGGAGTTCTGTAGTAGGAGTATAACATTTCTGAGGCAAAATGTGATATAGACATTATTTTCACATTTCTTTGGCAAAACAAGTTTTAAATTATCTTCAAGCACATTTGTTTGAGACACATACCAACAAAACATGTCTAAAGTGACCCAGTAAGGAGCTGCAAATACTCTATCAAACTTTTTAGCTCAGAATCATGAAGCTGTTTACATGATCTCCTTAACTCTTCAGCAGGAGTGTTCCCAGCCAGGAGAAAGTGCTTAAATACTTAACTGCATTAAGTCTTCAGAGGTATAAATCTGTTTGACGATGAGTAAAACCAGTTCAAAGTTAAAGTAATTAAGGCAGTTCAGCAATTCAAGTAGGTAAAGCCAAACCACCTGTTAACATAGCTATTATTCTTCAGTTCTTTGGAAAACAAAGAAGTCTGTAAGATCAGGCTGTGGGTGTTCCCTGTGGAAATGGAAAGAGATGAAGCAAAAGGAAAAAAATATAAAATGAGAACTACAAAGCCAGCTTCCCAGATTAAGAAATAAATACTGGAGGAAAGGTGCACCTAAACCAGTGACTGGGGGCTTAAAACTTCCACCACTAGCTCAGGCTGCAAACCCTGGACTTTACTGTTGACTTATACTGGCCTGGAGAAGGGCCAACAAGTTTTGATGGGGAGCCAAAATGAGCCCTTCTACACTGAGTTCCCATGGTGTTCACTGTCTTCTCTTGTTGGTCCTGTGACTTGGCAGGGCTACAGTTGGGATTGAATTTAAAAAAGAGATGAAACAGGACATGTAAATGTAGGCTTTCTGGCAAATTGGGCTAAGAAATGGAAACCAATTGAGGAATGATATTAAGAACAAAGCCCAGCTGAAGAAGTAATGTTGAAGATGGGATTCAGAATTTGGATCTAAGTATAATTGAGGATTAGGGTTTTTTTGATAATTTTTCTCTATAATCCTGCAAAATCAAATTTTTAATTCAATTTCTCCTCAGAGGACCTTGATGTTATTGATCTGATCAAATGAGTTGCAAAAAACAGCTTCTGGTTTTAGATCTAATATTTATATTACCTTCTCTAGCACCAGGAGGTGTTGGTCTGTGCCAGAGATGAAAGCAGCCTGACCATACCCTCTGTTCCACAGCAAGCTGGTGCTGGCTCACAGGCTCCACTGCTGGATTAAACAGTGCAGTGCCTAAGGATAGATCTGTTCCTGAAAAGCAGTGGCTGCAGAGATGGGCTTTACTGTGGACACTCCGTACCCCGTGAACACAGGAAATTACCATCTCCAGAGGTCTTTGAAGAGAGCTCCCTCAAGGGGAATAACAAAGGATGGAGTAATCCAGCCATGCTACCCCCTGCCCAGGGCTGTGGGACAGGAAAAGTCCTTCCCTGTGTCATGGAAGGTGCTGACACACCAGGTCTCTGTATATTGATTTATGGCCAGTTGGAAGGGCTGCCAGATGCTGACAGAATTTATGAAGCTGGTAAATGTTGGTTTTCAGATCTCTGCAGGGAGAGGGAAATGCATACGCAGGTTATCTACTGTGGTAGACAGTAAACAGGACATTGAAGTGCTGCACTGTGGAGAGTAAAGAAAAGGTCAGAAGACAAGTTTGGAATCAGCAAGAGATGGCAACACCTTTAATATATCTTCCTCTTTCCAAACACTGACTGGAAAAATACTAAGAATGAAAAGTATGCTAGCAGAAATATTACTTTGGCTGCCTTTCCCCTTTTAAGCAGATGAATTCTGGCCCTTCATTAATCTTGCTATTATGTTGTCTGAAATCATGGTTTCTATATTTTTAACAGTCCGTGCTTACTTACTTGGTGTCGTGACTTTTACATAAAAAGTTTGGAAGTGAAAAGTCCCCAGTAGTATGTAGAGGGACTGAAAATTAGTGACTTCCTAAATATTTCAGTAATTCTAGGTGCTCTGTGTTTGAACACCATCAAAATGTTAGCAATTTTTATCCTTGCTGCTTGAGAGAGATGGAATGCTGCGTTTTTGAGAAAGGGCAGAGAATACATTTTTAATTCAGACTGCTTAGATCTTATTTTCTCATTAAGCAATGTATAATGTCAAAGTGTTGTAAACAACATTTTCAAAAGTGAGGTTTTACTTTATATGGGCATCATTTTGGTGGCAAGCCTACGTACGTGTCTAAACAGATATTCTTTTTTCTTCCATTTCATGGGTAAAAATGAGACAGATTTATGGGAAGCATGTTTTAAGCCACCTCATTCATTTTACTTTCTAGTCTTTTGGAGTCACTAAGGCTGAAAAGACCTTTGTTTTATACTCTGAGAAGCTGTAAATGGTAATTTTAAAGTAGTTGCTATTCAGTTATAGCCTGGTTTTAAGCAAAAAATCTTTTATATTCATTGATTTGCTTATCTATGCACTTAAATTATTATTGCTGCCAAGACATTTTCATAATTTTCAGTTTACAACTTTGCATTTTGGCCTTAATTTGGTGTTCCATTGCAAACCAGCTACTTCTTTTGCATAGTTTCCATGCAAGTTCTCTTTTACACAAGAATTTTTAACAATAGAATTTGGACAGATGCATCATGCAAAGTACAGCTGAAACTAAATTGAGAGCATATGAGGGCTTAGCATGGTTGAAAAGTCTTTATTCTTATAACAAACACTTCAAGTTTGATGGAGCAGCAGATGTGTAGTGGAAGAAGAGCTAAGAGATTTAAAGACTAAACCAAGAGACAGAGCACAGAAGATTAAACAGAAGTTTCTTTTTTCTTGTACACTGCTATTTTGATGGATATCAGAATTAATGCAAAATCTAAATTTTCCAGCAGAAAATTTTGATCTTGCTGTTTGGTTTTATTTGTTGGGTGTTTTTGTCTCTCTCCAGTTTGTTTTGGACAGTGTTGACAATATTCTGTCTCTTTCTAAGCTGCCATGGTAGCTGCTGGATTCAGTAACAATGTTGATAGAAAGCAGCTTTTGCAATAGCCCCTTGAAGGACTAAGTTAAATTTTTCAAACCCATGCCAGTTGAAAACAGAGGGTCAAACTGGCTGTTTTTTTCAGTCTGTTTTCATAGAAGTATTCTAGGATCCACATGGAAATTGCATTAAGCCACAGGCGTTTTGGTCACACAGCCCTGGGAATGGGGATCAGGGAGAGACGGGCTCCTACCAGGCACACATTGCAGCACAAAGTGTTCAGCAGCTGCTCTCAGGGGTGGAGACACTCTCAACAGGAGCCACCTGCAGACATGAAGCAGGCAAGGAGGAGGAGAGGGAAATTCATCTTGGATTTGCCTCTCCACAATAAAGCAGAAGATAGGGCTGGGAAGTGCTGCCATTTGAGATGGCCTGGGCTACTCAGGTGCAGAGCCCTAAGCTTTCTGCAGAGGGAAAAGAGGATTCCAAAAGCTCCAAGTGGGATCACTCTGTCCTCCTACTTGTCCCTCTACCAGCTGTGCTTTTGCCTCTGTGTCCCAGCTATTATATCACACTGGAGGCCTTATCTTTACCTCAACCCACTTGTTTCCTGTATTTCTTTGACCAATTCATTAACCTACTTGCTGTCCTCCCTGTTGCATCCCTACTTACTTTCATTTTCTGAGGAAGGAGGTGGAGAGACAGTTTTGGAAAGGGAAGTTTGGCCCAGGCAGCAGGGCTGTCCTGATAGGAGGTGTTCTATCTCCCCTTGTATGCAGGGAGGAGGTTGAAATGGGGCTGGACAGAAGAAGTTGGGGCAGTTCTCATGAGGAAAGATAAAACCAGAGAAATAGGAGGGGTCATACAGCCTGGAAGTAGGTAGATGCTGTACGAGGAGAGGTTCCTGGGGAGAAAATTGTTGGTGTATGTGCCAGGCACAGTGTCATACATCTGCTGTTGTGACTTTCATTTTGGCAGTGCTGCATCTGTGTTTTCAGCAGCAGCAGGCTCATTTAAGCATATAACATGTTTTAAGTATGCTGCTAAGTGGGTCATCTGGGATGAAAGAACTTTAAAACATTGTCTCAAAGGTCACAGGTTCTTGAAAACATAAGAAGAATATTCTAAGCAGAGAGTTGAATTAGTGCTTGTGTTTTATTTCATAAAGAGTGATGGTCTGTATATAGATGTTTTTACTCGCTGAAGAAACCAAATGAGTATGAGAACAGCTGGGCAGGATATCCTGGTTTGTTGAGAAGAGCATGATTCAAGCATACCAAACTATGATTCTCTGCAGACTCAGAGAGACTGGCAATAAAATGCTGCACAAAAGCCTGCCCAGCTACCCCAGGGAAAGTAATTTTGTTCTCCTTTTATACAGCATTTGCGAATACTCTGACCACCCTGAGCCATGTGATGAATTCCAAGTGAGTGACGTAAAGCACAGGGCTCTGGGGTGAAATGTGTTTGTCAGAGGCACTGACCATGCAGTTGCCTCACCTACAGGTTCTTCTTGCTCCAGACACCATGTTTTCCAAGGATATTAAAAAAAATGAAAGTCAGTTTACTGCAAAAATGTTTTCTTGTCTTAAAAAGTGGACTTTCCTTCCAGGCCTTCTGTTGTACACTGGCTGCAGGCCCAGAAACAACAATATTACAGAGCAATACAGGCTGACCCAGTGCCTGAAACTTGCTGAAAACTAGAACTTTATATCCATTCAAAGAAAAAGTCTAGACTGGGAGCAGATAACAGGGAGATGTTCTACAGAGGCAAAATATCCAAAGGCAGAGAAGCCTTGAGGGGTTGCTGGTGCCTCAAAACAAGGCTGTACCTGCAATTGGCCTGGAAATGACCTGGACAGAAAACCTTTACTTTCTGTGTGTTGGCTGTCAGAAAGGCACACGTATCTTGTTATTATATTCACACACTTGAAATGACTTTACTTGTTGACAGTCTCTAGATTTACATAGGACAAGCACACTATTTTACATAGCATTTTTAGCACATTTTACATAGCATATTGCTAAAACCCTTTTGTAGAAGCCATTACTCCTTTTGTTGTACTGTGAGCTCTTGATGCTGACCTAGTGACGTGAACCCTGGGTGCTGTGGAGTACTGCAGCCTTTTCACTCGTGTAGGGAAATAATTTCATTCCATCCTTTTGGAGCAAGTAACTAACTGGGAGGAAACATGATGAAGAAGAAAGAGGCCATTGTGAAGAAAACATAGAGATGAAACCAGATAGAAATATGCCTATTAACAAGATATAAAAAAAGCTGAAAATCTACTTGGTCTATGGTACTTCCCTTCTGTCTGCAAGGTCCAGCATTGTCTCTCTTTCCTCACTGGTTCCTTTCTGGCCTTCCTCAACTAGCTTGTGAATCGTGCTGTAGTGCTGTTTGCTGCTGCTGAAAGAGTGGAGCTGGGAAGCATCTTCCCATGCCTGGAAAGCTGGCAGGGAAATGGGTTCTGGTTCCTTGTTTTCAAAAAAGCACTTCAGGTTTCGCTCGCTCAGCTTGGTGGCATACAGCTGGAAAATCTGCTCCAGTTGCTCCTTCTCTGTCCCCTCATACACTCTCCAGAACATCAACTGGAGGTGGCTGACTTTTGACTGGCAGCTGGCACAGCAGGTGGTTAGCAGGGAGAGGAGAGCTGTGGTAACTATCACACACCAACCTAAAATCTGGGAAGGCAAAAGAAATCAGTTTCAGGTTAAAAAGACCCAAGTGAAAATGCTACTTGAATCACAAATATCTGACCACACTTTGTTTGCATTTGGTGCTGGCCCTGATGTTAGTGGGACAACCACATGGGGACTTGTGTTAGGTTGGAAATGGGGATGTGTCTTCTATTCCCATCTGTTAGAGGTGGGGCAGTTGTCTTTTGTTAATTGGGCAGTTTTCTTTATCTCTTCCACAACCAATCCTCCCTCTGGGGGATATCTGCTGTTCATGGGCCAGTGAGTCCCACTGCATGTCTGATAAAACATTACAGCACCCCATTGTGAGAAGCTCTGCCCAGAGGGAGGAGCCAAGCATTCCTACCTGGATATAATCTGAAATTAGGAACATCACAGTCAGCCTTTCCCACTGCATTCCCAGAGGAGCAACTGTCTTCCCCACTGGATTCCCAGGGGAAGACCTTGCCCATCTACACCGCCACCAGACCTTCAGAGAAAACCTAGACCCTGCTACAGGATCACTGCTTCAACAGAACCACACCTGTCACTGCAGGAGGGTTGCAGCCACCATTTAATGGGACTGCTACCAACACCCTGACCCACAGGGTGTCAAGTTGTATTCTGACTCCGTCGGTGATTTCTTTTCTTTTCTTGTACTATTACATTTTTATTTTTAATTTTCCTAGTAAAGAACTGTTACTCCTCTTCCCATATCTTTGCCTAAGAGCCCCTTAATTTATAATTAATAAATTATAATAATTCGTAGGGAGGTGGTTTACATTTTCCATTTCAAGGAAGCCTCCTGCCTCCCTTAGCTGACACCTGTCTTTTTAAACCAAGACAGGACTGAAGAGAAAATCCATCAGAATAGAGGCTTCTCAATACTGCTCCTTTTGGTGTATCTTTGGTAAAGGGTAAAGTGTTTTCTAACTCCTGAAAGCATTACATAAAACCACCCCACAAGAATTACTAATTTTGAATCATGAAGAACTACATAACCAAAAAGGGCAAGTAATTTTTGTTCCAGATCAACCAGCCTTTTAAACTGTGACCACTGTTAGATGTTTTGTTTTCTGAATTATTTTTATTAGAAAAAAACCTCCAACAAAACAAATACATAATTAACCAGCATCACTCAACTCCTTTTTTCTGTAGCAGCTTCAGATGTGGACGAAATTCTGTCAAGAACATTTTCAAAGAGCTACTTCCATAATTACTTCCTCAGCAAGGGGAGAGAATGGAAAAATGTGCTCGAACCAGTTATTGTGGGATGTTCTTCCCTAAGAAGAGCAGCAGTGTGAGCACAATTTTTCCTGCCTTGTACCACTGGCCTAGCCAATGGCCAAGACAAGTTTTACTTGTCTAATCCATTATGACAAGTTAAAAAAAAACAAACTTGTTTTCAAAAACTGGAAGAAGTTCCAGTGTGGGACAAATATTCTAGGGCTCAGAGGCTTTAGAACTGGAACTGATTTCCCATGCTCCAATGGTGATGATATGGAGAGTGAACTCTCATGTGAACTCTTGCACTGATGTTAAAAAAAAAAAACCACCAGTAAAAATCTGTGTTTAGCTGATGTAATATAGAAAGTTTCTTCAGGGAAGTCTGTGAAACAGAGAAGTTTGACAAACAACTATTCTTAGGAATTGGTATAGAACAATAGTTAGAGCTTTCCTTTATGTTTCCCAATCACTTTGTACTGACTAGCGATTTTTATGGGTATTTGAGAAATCGTTTTTTTTAGCAGTTTTTCACTTTCTTGCAGCTTGGAAAATGAACTCATATATTCTCATGCTAATACTGAATCCCTGGTCTTTTAGTATTTCCTATACATACAACTTAAAGTCTCAAGCATTATCTGTTGTTGCCTTCTAACACTAACAAACAAATTTGTTTTGTTTGTGTCTGCAGCGCAGTCTTTGTCCTATTTGCATGAGGACTTAAAAATAAAACCAGCCCTTGGAAAGGAAATTGCTCCAGATGGATACAATTCCTGACAAAAACTTGCTGGCTCCACAGAGTGTTTTCCTTTTTCTGTAGCTTTCTTTTTATTCTCTCCACTGTTTTGATTTTTTGCCTCTGAATTTATTTGCATTACAATGCAGAGAGCAAAACTGTACTGCACAAATACTGTAGAAAGTAGTAAGATCTCAGCTTTGCATGATCTGCTTGCTTTATTGTTTCTCACTTCCTCTAAGCAGGACAAAAACATGCTTACATTTGTCATCACAAAAAAGAGGAACACAAATAGAAGCACATTATTTAAGCAGTCAAAGGATATTTCACAAATCTTATTTTCCAGTATTTTTCTGCTGTTAGTAACCTACAGTTATCACAATGATTTAAAAAAGAAGAGTGTGGCATGAATCTTTTAATAGGACAGACCCCTTTAATGCAGTGATATCTGTTACTTCAGCCTCCAAAACAATCCAGTTGGGTTTGGTTTTTTTCCCTCCTTAGAGCAATCTCCATTCAGGAATAAAGCTTTAGGTTCTCTGGTCTTATTGACCTCGCCATCAGTGAGGACCCCTAAGAAATATGGAACAGCTCAAACTGAACCAAAAGATGGATTGATTGAATGCCAAAACATTGTTTACATGAAGCCAACAGTTTTAACAAAACTTTTGACATCAGGATCTTCCACAGATAAATCACAGCAGCAGTACAGTAATGCTTTTTGTTTATCATTTTTCTTACCTGGGACTGTGCTTGAAGTGTTCTTTTCAGTTCATCACTCTCTGAAAAGGGCAGGGAGCTTTTGTCACAGGCTACCTTGTGTAGCTCTTCAAAGCAGCTCTCCGATTTGCTGTGGCAAACTGCTTGTAAGTAGGCAGGATTTTTCAAGCCACTCATGGCACATTCGTAAAAAGTCCCGTTGAGCAAAGCCACGGACAGCCACATCACTGGGGCTACCAGAGCATTTAAAGTGATTTGTCCAAAGACGTAAAAGAAATGGCAGATATTCCCTCTGGGGAATATTTTCCTGGGATTCACCCAGCAGCCTGTAAAGAGTTTCCAGGTCTTGCTGTTCAAGAAGTATCCAATAACCAGCAAAACAAGAGCAGGCGAGAAGAGAAATACCAAACCGTACCTGAAGTTTTCGTTGCTGCAAGGGCATCTGAAAGCAACAAGAGAAAACACACGTTCACCTCCCATTGTCAGCAGCGCCATAAAACTGTAACCTATGGCGGTTTTCCGGTTCATAAAGAACTTCAGGATTGTTTGGAACGCATCCATCCCTGGTACTCACTGGGGAGGCGAGAGCCGGGCCGGTCTCTCTCGGTCGGCAGCGGCGTGCGGCGGGGCAGAGCTGCCCGAGGAGGCGCACCCGGCTCTCCCCGCCCTGCCGAGATAGCGCCGTGATGTCACTGCTGCGGAGCGCTGGCACGCCAGATGTGGCACATCCGCAGCAGCATCCACCCGGCGCGGGAAGACAGCAGGCAGTGCTCTGTGTGACCAAGTTTGCAGTCTTGGAAGCCTTGTTTTCGGTGGGCTGTTTGTTGTTTTTTTTGCTTTTTTTTTAAGCGACTGCAGATGGAGAGATCAGAGTTGCGGGAGATCTTGAGCTGTGATTATAAAAGTTGCTGGTGAAGTAGTGAATGACCTAATATAGAGGCTAATGGTCCCAAGGGAGTATGACATGACTGAAAGCAGATGAGTGATAACAGTAAAACCACTTTGTGTGGAGTTGTAAATGTAGGAACTTCAAAGAAGAGCAGCTCTCTGTTGTGTTTTCCTGGGGCATCACACAGCTCTAGATTTGCATTGCTGGCTCAAGCTGATCACAGAAGAGACAAATGTACTTTGATTTCTAGCCTGTCTGGCTCTGCCCCCTTATTTCCTGGGGTAAAATTGGTCTACAGGATGCTTCTTTCTAAAATTTCACCTCTGGTTTGCACGCAACCCATTTAAGCAGCAGAATTTCATTCTTTTGCAGGTTGCTTTCAAGATGTATCTTGGGGTCACCCCTAGTGTGAGCTGCAATAGTGTCACAGGGAATGAATTCTCCTTAATCCTGGACAAAAACCCACTGGTGGATTTTGTGGAGGAGCTGCCAGCGGAACGAGCGTCACTCTGCTATTGTAACCTCCTCTGTGGGGTGATTCGAGGTGCCTTGGAAATGGTAAAGAAGTGCACATCTGTTTTCTCCATTTTTTGTTAGTTCACAGAAGCACAGGAAAACAAAATCACTTGTTCAGATAAAAGTAGGAAATATAGTATTGTTTAACCTCTCAGGTTAAATGACTATATCTAGATAAAAGAGGACAAGGCTGATCCTGGATCCTGAGGTAGAGAAGCACATGGATTATCTCACCTCCACACTGTCCCTGCCTGGCTGTTCAGTCTGTTCAGTGGCTGACTTGGGTGCAGAAGCCAGGTGGGATCAGGAAGACAGGTAACACTTAAAGTGGAGGGACAGAGGGGCATGTTGGGTTCCTCCACTGCTCCTGGACCCTGTCACACTTCCCTGCACAGCTGTAGCCAGTAATAATCATCCCAGATTCTTTCCAAATACCTCAAGATAAATAATAGTCTCAGGTTACTGTGGTATCTGCTGAGAGGGAGAACAAAGTATGGATGAGCATAATGTTAAAACCAAAGCATCAGAAGTGTATCAGATGGCAATCCAAATTTTGTTCTTAAGTTTAAGGTTTTGCAAAGAAATAAATAAAGGGCACAATTTGAAAATTTCTGACGTGTAGAGCTTCTTCAGGGACATTACTTTTGGGCTGCTTTATGTTTTTTGTCAATATCGGATTCAGCATAGAACTTATATTTCAAGAGACAAAAAACTCAATCCTGTGGTGTTATGTACATACATCAGTCTCAGAATCAAGAGCATCTGATACAAGACTAGGTAACAAAAGTATTATATCATAACTCTTAGTACAAGACTAGGAAATTCTGTGATCACAAAATCATTAAGTATGCAATTTAGGGTCTCAGAAGAAAGCAAAGCACTGGGGAGAAGGGTAATGTGCTATATAAATTCAAGTGTCAATAAACTTCCTTTGTATTAGCTTAGTTGGGAAAGCTATTTTAAAAAATTTAGATATCTGTTTCCTATGAAACCTGGGAAAGGGGGTCCTCTTGTGGTAAGAGAGAGAAAAAAGCTCATTAGGAGGGTGGAAAACCAGGTATTTTTTTGCTTAACTAATCAGACCTGATTCTTTCCAGGTTCACTTAGCAGCAGAAGTGTCCTTCCTCCAGGACAGGCTGAAGGGGGATGCTGTGACAGAAATAGGAATCACATTTTTAAGGAAGCCTGAAGACAGAAGGCACAGAAGGAACAAATGAAAGAAATATTGGGAGAAACCTTTGCCTGGGGATATTTTGTGTCTTTTGTTTTAGAAGAAGACAGGGTAAAAGTGTCTTTGCTGAGTCAGCTGCACCAGTCAGCTGGTTGAAAGGTGAAGAAAGCAGGGCAGCAAATAGGAGGGGCAGGGCAGGAGAGAGCAATGTTAATTGTTGTGGCACAGATATCAGTGAAAAAGAATGAAATTATCTGCCCTTCCCTCTCACATACCCAGGCTCTCGAGCTTGATGGAAGTTTTATCTCAGTATTTAGTGTGTGCTAAATATTTGTCTGTATACCAATTGTTTTCAGGTAAAGCTGATGACCTTTTCCCATTTTGTTAGTAATATTTCAGAGCATGTCTGCTAGAGGTGCTTTATTTCCCTGGCTATGTGTGGTTATCCATAAAGGATGCAGTTTTGCTGGCACTCCTGCTCAGTCCTGTGCACACTCCAGGCACAGCAGTGCTTGTGTCTCACCAAGCTATGGGCCTTTCCACGTCAGCCTCTCTCCAAGAGCACTGATCTTGTGACCGAACTGAAAAAGCATGATGTATTTAATGTGTAGCTATTGTGGACCTGTACCTGCCTAAGGAAACTGGAATTAAAATTCTGAGATTGCCACACAACTTCTTTGGTGGTCGTGTTTTCTGTTCTTACCTGGCCTTCACGTCCAGCTGTTGAGCATTCTTCCTCTTGGCAGTGGACTTGTTACCACAACATGACTGGGAAGTAGAGAAGGAGCAGCCTCAGAGAAACCCAAGTTATAGGAAAGGTTTAAAGTTGTTTGGTGTAATGCAAGATGTCTGGATAAGGTTTGGACAAAACCGCAGGTCCTAGCACAGCACCCTACCCACAAAGCCACCTTACCCTCTTCTCATCAAAGCACTTATTTTAAACTGAAATACCAACAAATAAGGTCAATGTAGCCCCAAGTTAAGTCTGATTTTATCACTGTGTTTTGTACCTTCTTCTCCTATTTTTCCCTCAGTCTGTTTACATCTTCATCATGCTAAATGAGGGCATCTCTTACCTTGGGTTCATTCTCACCAGACCTGTACAGTCCTCATGATAATCTCTCTCCCTTTGTTTTAATGGTGTGGTAAAGTGGTGTCATAGCAGAATGGCACTTTAAGTGAGCTATTTTGAAGGGAACAAAAACTAAATTATTTGTTATGCAGCCTTGGTCTCAGCCCAGCTGGTGTTACCTGCTACCAGTAAGAAGTGACAACATGTACATGTAACAATATGTTATAACTAGTAATAAGGTTCCCCGTCTTTTTTTTTAGTTTTTTTTTTTTTTAATTATTATTACTGTTTTTTTTTAAATTAGAGCTGAAATGTGTTGTGGAGTTTGTCTGATTTCACTGCCTGTACAAGAGCCCTCAGTGGGGCTTTTGCTGGTTGAGATGTACATGTGGCTGATCACAATGAAGGCTGTTTATTCACAATGGCCATTTTTACTTTTTCCAACAACACTAACCAAATATTCTCTTTTTAAAAATTATTATTATCTTGAAAGTGAATAACCTATACTGTCCTTGTTTTCTTAGAGAATTACAGAACTGTTAGGGTTGGAAAGGACCCCTGAGGGTCATCTAGTCCGACCCCACTGACACGGCAGGGTCACCTAGAGCAGGTGACGCAGGAACATCTCGGTTTTCTGTGGTTGAGATGACCCCCAAGGTATTAGAAAGTCTTTTTTTTCCCAGCCCTGCAACTAAAGAAGAAGTCGAGATTCATCGGTTCTGCTTTTCAAGGTTGTTTATTTTTCTTATCTATTACATTTTTTCTTTGACCTGTGAGATCTGTCCAGCAGGTTGGGCTGTGGCACACTGACTGCCCTTGGGGTGGTGTTAATTTTTATACAGAGAACTACGTGTACATTATTTACAATAATTTTCTAATACCTATCACCTATGTTAGACAGTCTGTCTCTACTCTAAACCAATCAAAAAGTGTCATCATCCCAGCAGAAGATGGAGGACAAGAAGAAGGAGAAGAAGGACAGGACATGCCCAGATTCCTTCATCTTGCCTCTTGAACCCCCATTCTAAATCCCCAAAATTCTACTTTTTTACCCTGTGACAAATTAACTATCATTCTACTCAAACTCTTGTGGCTTGTAAATATTCACACAAAGTTGGTAATTTTTTCCATGGACTAAAATTGAAAGCACTGGTGTTTTTGGCTCTGTGCCAAGGTCTCTGAGCCCTCTGCCACAGTCTCAAATCACCCAGAGCAGCCAGAGAAATGTCCTGGGTCCCAACAGGAACACATCTAGGTGAGTCTGGATTGTCTCCAGAGAGGGAGACTTCACGACCTCCCTGGGCAGCCTGTGCCAGTGCTCTGCCACCCTCAGTGTAAAGTTCTTCTCATGTTGAGGTGAAACTGCTTGTGCTTTAGATTGTAGCTATTGCTCCTCCTCCCGTCACTGGGCACCAGAAAAAAGAGTCTGGCATCCTCCTCTTTCCACTCACCTTTGAGAGGTATTAACAAGATCCTCTCTCAATCCTCTCTTCTCTGGACTAAACAGGCCCAGCTCCTGCAGTCTCCCCTCATAAGAGAGATGCTCCAGACCCAAATCACTTTTGTGGCCCTTCTGCTGGGCCCTCTCCAGTAGCTCCTTGTCTTTCTTGTACTGAGGAGCCCAGAACTTTAGATGTGACCTCACTAGGGCTGAGTAGAGGGGGAGGAGCACCTCCCTTGACCTGGCCACACTCTTCTCTATGCACCACAGGACACCAGTGACCCTCCTGGCTACCAGAGCACCGCTGGCTCATAGTCAGCTTGCCATCCACCCAGACACCAGGCCCTTTTCTACAGAGATGCTCTCTAAGAGGTCAGCCCCTGCACTGTCACTCCATAATCATCAAGTTTCTCAGAAGGAAAAGAGCATTGAGTAAATAAGTGACTGTGATGAATATGTTTAAAAAATTCTTTTCTACATGAAAATTAAATCTGGTTTTGCCTTCATGTGTTATATTTTTAGTTTATAGTGAGAAAGAAGCTTCAAATTCATTACATTCAGCTAGTTAAAATAGGCTCTCCCCTTCTTCCTTCCTTGCAAAATGAATGTAACAAACAAATTCTTGGGTTTCCTGCCTGCCTGTCTGAATGATTTTTGAATTTATTGTGTAGAAAGAGAGAATTTCTGGGAGAAGTAAATGGACAGCCTGGACCAAACAATCTGACTCACATATCTAGAACTGTCATAGCATGGCATCCCCTGCCGGGTAATAATTAGCATTGACTCCATGATTCCAGAAGGCTGATCAATTGCTTTATTATACTATACTAATTAAGAAACTCATCACCCTTACAGACAGTCCAATACAGTTTGACCTAATTAGTCCAATACAGTTTGACCTAATTGGTCCTTTAATTAAAACACCATCACCATTGGCTAATTAAAGAAACACCCTTTGGTAAACAAATCTCCATAAACATAACATTCCACATGTTTACAACAACAGGTGCAGCAAGTGAAGATAAGAATTGTTTATCATTCTTTTCTTTGATATTCTCACAGCCTTGCCCAGGACAACGCCTGGGAAAATTATGTGTTGCTCTCTGTGGCCACAGAGCTGCTGCCACATAAAATGCTCTCTTATTAAAAAACAGCTTTTCAGGACAAAAATGAACTTTATTATTTTTCACTTAAAACTTGTATCTTTATTTATTATACTAAGATGTTGTTTGATAAGAATATTACTACTTGCTAATATGGATTGCAGATTTTTAATGTCCTTAAGCGTATGAATGCACTTTTAATGCTTGTTAATATAAAAGCTTCACCTACACCACCATGTTATGCATGAGCCTAACCCCTCAAGACAAGCTAATTTTTTTAATCTACAGCTTGCTCTAAGCTTCACTGAAAGCTTCATTTTAAAGAGAGAGCTAAAAAACGAAGCTGAATTTCTGATCAAATCTTCCATTCCTGTCTTTGTCTCTTTGATAAGGTTTGGTATTGTTACTCCACCTGTCAAGTGCTTTTAAGGTATTGGTAATAATTTGACATAACATGTGCTGATACCTTTGTGGATGTTGATTATTTTACATACAACTCTTCTCAATGGACAACAACATAAGAAAACTGCCTTTTAAATCTACTTAAGCAAAAAGTAAATCTCCTGAGGATTACAACTATTAGCTTTCACTTTCAGCTTGCATAGATTTCAGTAAGAGCAGAGAATAAGACTCTTCTTATATAAGTAGGGCTAAAAGACTGCTAGCATGGCAAAGGATTTGTTTCATTACAACCCTGAAACGCTTGCCTGGGCTTCATCCACAAATTCAATAACATTGAGATCCTGACCTTCTTCCTGGAATTCAGTGTCGTTGCCTCTGTTGGTGTTCACATACTTGTGTAACACGCTGTAATACTGCGATTGTGAATTAAAGGTGTACGAGACTGAAACCTTCTGCCAGTCTTCATTGCTGGGAGTGGGAAATGGTGCTGGGTCAGTGGCTTCAAAAAAGCAATTTGTATTTCTTTCTGCTAGCTTGTTTGCATGTTCTTTGGCTTTGGTCTCAAAGAGTTTATGTTCTTTTCTTGAGTAAATTTTCCAGAACTTGAACTGAAGGTAGCTGACAGGGGAGAAGCAGTGGGTGACACATGTTGAAATCAGTGCCAGAGCCATGATGTTGACTATCAGGAACCATCCTATCAGCTTGAAAAAAGGATATATATGTTATTGGTGGTTTTGCATGGCCATATGTAGAAGTACAGAACATAACACTGAAAAAATAAGAAAACTGTAAGCAAAGAATCCTGGAGTGCATGTAACTGTCTGCTTGCTGTCAAAGTAGGGGATCCCATGCATGCAATTCAGACAGACATACAGACCCTCTACACCCCTCAGCTGATCTTGTCAGATTAAGGATGAATACCGAAAAAAGAGAAGATGGACAGAAGTGATTTACTCAGTTATATCCAGCTTTCTTAAGTTTTAAGGCAATATACTGACCATCAGTTTCTGCAGTTGTGGTCACATTTCTGGTACAAAGGGTGCAGAATCTCTCTGTGCGCTTTGTGCTGCAAATCAGAGCTCCTGCTGGCTATGTTCTCGTGGAATGTAGTTACTCTCCCTGATGTCTAAGCCTGCAAAAACAGCTAGTTTTTGCACAACGCAGAGGAAAGGTTGTGTCCTGTATGTGTTGTAGGCAGGACACAGATTTGACTATTGGATATGGGAATTCATGCTTGTTTTATAGCTCATTTTAACACCCTTAGACAAGTCTCAGAGGTGCCATCAAAACCAAGTGTCCTAGTAATTGCTGGTGTCTCCTCTACTCAGGGGTACTTAGCTAGAAGTTCTAGGCAGAGATCCTGCAACATGCTCTTTTACCCCAGGATGATTTTTTCTTCAAATGAAAAAGTATTGAGTGCTACGTGAAAAGGAGTTTTTGCTCTTTTTGGTTCTTAATTTTGTTGAAAGTAGATTGGATATTAAAAATAGTGGTCAGTAATAAAAATACACTCACACTTTTCCTATTTTTGTTTGACTGGATGTTTCTTTTAGTTTCTACTGCAATGTCAGTAACAGTCAGGCTTCCTTGTTTTTTCTCCTTTCTTATCCTATCTAAAATCGATGGTATAGAGTTTGCCCCCTTTTTTTGGAGAAGCAGTATGCTAAGTATTTAACAAATAAAACCACATTTTTGTTTTAATAGGCATTTGTACTAAACAGGAACTTATTATTAACTCTTATAAACTTAACTCCCTTAACCAACTCTTAATGTTTTCCTGAGAAAAAGTTGCAAAACATGGTTTTCCTACTGGAGTTAAGACAAAATCCACACAAATGTAGAAACAAAACTGCAGTGTTGCCAACAAACCAAACAAAAAACAATCTACAAGTGTTACTGTTTTGATCATGCAATTTGCTTTCAGCACAAGAAACTTTAACAAGACAGATATATATTTTAACTATTCTTCTAGAATACAAGTGTGAAATTATTAAGAGGTTCAAGCATTGAGATTTATAGTCAAACAAGGTGTTCTTATTTGTTTCTCTTTCCAGATGTCTCCTTGCTACCATTCTCTTGCAAGGGGACATCAGCTTCCCCCCTGTCTTAATGATCTCAGCTTCCCCTCAACTAATGCCTTTCTGCAGAAGTTTGAGGTATTCAAAGACATAAAAGTAGAGAAAGAGAAGAACTCAAACCATGTCTAAGTTAATTGAGAAGAAAACTTGCTGTGCAAAGTCCCATTCTCTAGGCTGGTTTCCTGTCCATGAGGTTTTGTAATTGACAGTACCAAGCCATTACCATGCAAACATGCAAAGCCAGAAAGTACTGTAAAAATACACCCATTTCTTTTCTGTTGCTGCTTTTTTGCCAATGAATATTGGCTAGCCATGTACTTTTGGTACCTGATATTATATAACATGAGGAGAAGGACTGTTTACAGTTCCCAGCAGGCACCTCTATGCATTGAGCAGCCAGGGCTGAAGCCTCCCAATAGTGTGAGGAGAAGAGCAGTGAGGCTTTACCTGGGACTGTGCATGAAAGCTGAGGCATACACTTGACATCGCTGCTGCTAACTCCTCATCACAAGGCATTTTGTACAGCTGCTCTTGGCTGTAATTTCCTTTATTTTTACAGAAGAGTTGAGCTGTCATGTTGCTCCCGCTGGCCGCACACTCGTAGAAGTTGGCTCCGAGCAGGGCCACCGCTATCCAGGTGAGCGGGGCCACCGAGGCCTTGGCTGTCATTGGCACAAACAGCTGGCAGAAGTGGGCCCAGGTTCGCCAGGAACAGTATTGGGGATGCTTCTCTGGAGAGCACATGCCTGTAAACAGGCGCCATGTCCTGGCGTTCATCATGTAGCCAAGCAGCAAGAGGACAAAGGCAGGTGCTAAGAGAAAGGAATAGCCATACACCAGGTTCTCAGAGTTGCAGGGACACTTGAACACCACATATGAGAAGACGCGCTCGCTGGCAGCTGTCAGCAGGGACACGATGCTGAAACTCAGAGTGGTCTGGTGGTGGATGAAGAAATCCACTGCCTTCTGTAAGGTATCCATTTTTCTGCCTCTCCTTACTTTGAGAAGAGCAAAATCTCCGTCAGAAAAGGAAAAAAGAGAGACAAGTCTCCTGCAGCTCCCACAGCCTAGAGAGGCTTTTAGGGCTTTCAGTTTCTATTGGTTGTGGTGATGCAGTGAGGCACAAAAGCAGCCCTTCATAGAGGAAATAATAGTCAGTTCACAGTCAAGCACAGACCACACTGGAAAACCACTCCAGCATCAACAGCAAAATAATTTCTTATACATTTGTTCCTATAAAAATAGTTTGTGTTTGTCCACACATACATTGTAACTAGCAATGGCTTAAACCTCATCATCTTGTCAGTGAAGAACCAGATTCAAAGTGTGAATAAAATGTGAAAAAAACCACCCAGAACCATATACAGATTTTTATCCTGCCTTATTTTTAGCTGTACAATATGGCTTGTTCTCTTATGGAAGAAAATTCAACTATAATCATGTCAATTTTTCAAGATAATCAATCTATCAATTTTTTTAAGCAGTTATGTTGTAAATTATATAACTCTTGCTTTTTTTTTTTTTTACTTTAAAGTACATTAAACCATGGATTTGTTTGTCTTTGCCAAGGGGAAGGGCAGCTGGATGTTGTTGTTTGTTTAATCTTTAAACTGCTGAGACTTTGGGTCTTGCTGGACAAGGCCTGATAAGCTCCAATTTAAAAAGAAGGGTGTTTTGGAGGTCAGGAATTTGAAAATCCCCAGTTGCCATTTCAGCTCTTTGGACAGCTGAGAGGATGACACAGAGGCCCCAGAGCAGGCAGCACTGGTTCAGGTGGCTGCTGGGCTCACAGCAGATATATCGTGCTCAGTGCTGAGCTGCTGCTGCTGCAGAGAATGTGCTGCTAAATGAAATGCTTGCCTTGGCCTGGAAAGGCCCTTGTGATACAATGACATAGCAATCAATTTTCTAGAATTTTTTCTATTATCCATGAATTGATATTTTAACAAGATATGCATTATAATAAAAAGCCCTTCAGTCCTTGAAAGACAACCTCAGCAAGCTCAGAGTCTATCACTGTATATATGAAGGTAGGGTTTGGTTTCACTTTGAACACCATTTCTTCTGTACTGTGTGGAGATGTTGGGGAGGCATTCCCTGGTTTAGGGAAACAGAAGAAGTTTCCCTCAAAAAGCTGTTAGACTCTATTGGCTCCTTCCTTTGTTCCTATGTCTGTTCATATGTTCTTGAGCCCCTCCTTCCTTATTCCCTGATTGGCCCTCATCTTTGTACCCCCCAGAGACCAGGGTCAGCCCCCAGGTCCTTGTAGAGAAAAAGTGAGAAAAAGTGAGTGTGTGGATGCTGGGACCTGAACATCTCACCACGTGGCTGAATAAAACATCTGTGGATATTATGCAAAGGTCCTTTTTTCTTCCTTACCCTGGATTATGCTAGCAGGAATTCAGATTGCTACAAATGGCACCCGAACAGGGGACCTCTTCTCCTAGAAAACATCTGCACTAAACCACCCTGAACATTTTACTGTCTTAACCCAGTGTGATGAGTTTGAAATTTCAGTTCCTTCCTCCTTTTACTCTCAGGTGTTGAGAAGAGACTAGATTAAGATGATTGGATAGAATGGAAGATGGAAACAACGCTCACCCACGCAAAACAAAAAGTTCACCTCCACCTTAAAAAGTCTTTTCTTCAAGAACATTTTAGCTTTTCAGAGGAAGAGTTAAAGTGTTTTATACACTGGTTATTTAAGCATTTTCCTTATATTTTGCTTCCTAAGTCCTAACCAATGACTTTGGAGAACTGGTTTGAGAAAAATTAAGGCCTGAAGAAAAACTCTATAAAGAATTCTATCCTTTTTTGAATATGATAATGATGTGCATTCACAATCTTGAGGAACAGTTAAAAAATAGTGAACCTCAGCTGAAAACCCCTTCTCCAAGCTCTCCCATCTGCACTCCTGCTGCCCAAGTTTGCTGTCACTGCATGGCTGTGGCCGCATGCTCGCATTGACATGCTCAAGATGGTGGAGGCCGCATGGCCAAGGCCACAGGGTCCCCCCTTCCGCCCTCTAGTCCCCACACCTCCTCCCACAGCTTCCACAGTCCCAGGAGTGAGGGGGGGTCAGAGGAGCAGGCTCTGATTGGCAATATAAAGCTGCACCAGTCTCTTACTACGAAGGGGAAAGAAACCCCACGTGCACTTGCAGTGCTGGAAGGGACAGTAAAGAGAAGAACAGATGTGTTTACCCCAGTTGCTATAGCACCACGAGACACAGTGTGTGTGGCAAGGGCTGTCCCTGCTGCCACTGAACAGCTGCCCCTGTGGAAAACCCGCGGCCATCCCGCTGCCACCGTGCTTGGCCAGGGTGAGCCAGCCAATACTCGCTGCCCAGCCTGGGTCATGGCAGCCCACAGCACCGGGGCTGAGCGCGGGCAGGTGAGACTGGTGGGTGGGCAGCCCTGCCAGGAGATGGCTCAGGACCGCAGTCCTGGCAGCGAAACCGCCACTCCCCACCTGCCCGCAGAGCCTGTGCCACTCCTGCTGCTCTGGAAGCCCCACACTGACAGTGCCCGTGGACATCAGCCAAGAGAGAGCCCCAGGAAAAAGCCAGGCCCCAGCGCGGCCGCCAGCACAGAGAGCAGGACGAACCCTGCACGGCAGCGCACCAACCTCAACACCAACAACACATCCAGCAACACAAACACAAACCCACTGGCAAAGGTAAAAAAGTCCTTGCCGTGAACATTTTGGGGACAGTGAAACAATTCAATTATAAAAAACAAATACGGCTTCATAATCCAGAATGATAACAAAGAAGATGTGTTTGTTCATCAGACTGCTATAAAAAAGAATAACCCCAAGGAATACCTCCACAGTCTAGGAGATGGAAAAATTGTGGAATTTAATATAATACAAGGAAGAAAAGGCCCCCAAGCAGCCGATGTGACAGGAGTAGTAGAGTTCCAGTGCAAGGTAGTAAACATGCACCAAACTGCAAACCTGTGAAGTATTACCCACATCACAGAAGTCATCCACACTCCTACCAAAGAAATAAAACCCAAAACCAACAATCAAGACCCAGCAACAGCCTAAAATCTGAAAGAGGATAGAACACTGATGAGCCATCCTCCATCCAAGAGTTCACCACCATAACAAAAGAACCTTCCAGTCCGATAAGTCCCACTTCTTCTAATACCCTTCCCCAATTCCTGTGGCCTCCCTGTCCCCCTCCCACTTTCCCCTTTGCCTTTCCATTGTCCTATTACTCCTTTTTTATGTTCCCACAAATTCCTACCTCCTTTTCCCCCTTTCCATGGCCTCCCACTACTAATCCCTTCCCCCAGATTTCTTTCATAATACCAGAGGGAGGGTGATTGGGAGGGAAAGAAAAGAAAGTTTCCCTAAAGTAACCATCTTTCTCTTAAAGTTAATGATTTCTATTCGGAGTTTCCAGCAGACACACCACCACCTACCCTACCTTGTACAGAACAAATTAACAGCCAGCAACACTGCCTCAAGTGGCAGAGGACCAATCCCTGCTGAAAAAACTTCTCCTAACTCAGTTTCCTAATAAACCGTGCTAAGAAAACCTGCATTCCTCCTGCCACCTCTAAGACACTCCAAGAAATCTGTTGAGACATTAGAAACTCAGAATTGTTTGCATTTTTAAATAATTGTCTTATGAGTGCTTTTGATTGTGTTTGTCGTTTTGTGTTGATTCAGTTGATCCTTCAGAGAAGATTTCTTAATAATATAAAAAAACAGGAATTGTGAAGACCCTGGGGGGGCATTCCCTGGTTTAGGGAGACACAAGAAGCTTTCCTCAAAAAGCTGTTAGACCCCATTAGCCCTTCCCCTGTTCCTGTGTCGGTTCCTACCGTCCTGAGCCACTCCTTCCTTATTCCCTGATTGGCCCTCATCTTTGTACCACCCAGAGATCAGGGTCAGCCCCCAGGCCCCTGTAGAGAGAGAGCGAGAGCCTCTGTGCGTGGATGCTGGGACCTGAACACCTCACTGCACGGCTTAATAAAACATCTGTGGATATTATGCAAAAGTCTCTTTTGCTTCCTTACCCTGGACTGTGCTAGCAGCAATTCAGATTCTACAATACTGAATTAGACACATCATTTTGCTTTCTGACCAGGCAGCCTAAGAAAGTATCTCACCAGTTCTTTAAAGCAGTGATTTATTTTTAAATATCAAGAATTATTGGCAAGTACTGTTACCTTGATTTTTACTTAGAAGCAGTTAGAGATAGAGGTTAGAAAGCTGTGAAATTAGAATTCAGATGCCCCATCCATGGTAGTGTTCCAGGACAGGTTGGATGAGGTTTTAAACAACCTTGTCTTGTGGAAATTGTGGAGGGTTAGAACTGGATGATCTTTAAGGACTCTTCCAGCCCAATCATTTTTGATGGTTCTGTGATTCTCTGTCAGCATGGTAGATGCAATGTGAAATTGCTGCAAGGATGCATCCTGACAAAGACAGGGACATGTGCTGCCTCCAAGAACCGCACCGAACTAGTTTAACAAGAGAGTCAAAGGACCAGAGGCAGCTCTCTGGAACAGATTATGACCACACAGGGGAAAACAGAGCCAAGAAACCCTGCTACTTCTCTTTCTGAGCCTAATTTTAGCAGTGTTTTATTTATCTGTAATTAAATACGATTTCAGGAACCAGCTTCTTGGGAAAAGGGAGGGGAGCTCTGCATGAAAAAGGATTAACCCTCCTCCAAGAAAACATGTTTCCAGTAAATATCCAAAGAGTCATGGGCGAGGGAAGAGAGACCACCCTAGTAGGGAAGTGGGGGAGCAGCTGTGCCCCAGCCGAGTGGGGTGCAGGAGTGGCCAGGGTGAGCCCAGCTGTGGCAGCTTTGGGAGCTGGGGAGCAGCCCAAGGGTGTGAGGAGCTGTGGGGCCAGGGACTTACAGAGCCCCCGTTCACTCAGAGCTCTCTTCTCCCAGGGCAGCTCTTTCTTGCCTTCTAAATTAACACTTGTCTGGCCACAACAGCTGCAAAGCATTA